GTTACTTGAAAAAAGTAATCAGATTACAGTAACGCGTTTGGTGACGAGTGGAGCAAAATGTTTTTCTTTTACTTTTCTTGATCCTGCTTTACTAAAATAACTAAATTAGGTTTTACGAGTAATGCACATATTTAACATTTTGTCGTGTGAAATGTTTAAGCCATGCCTCATGTTGCCTCAGGCAAAACTGAATGGCTCCCATTATCCTTCTCAGAGTGAGGAGTAAAGCTCAATTTAATTCTGGTATTGGATAGGTACTCCGTATCAGCAGTAATTCAGAGGTTTAATTAGATTTAATTAAAAATTGATTCTCCAGTCACTGGTGAATGCAAAAGAAAAGGCACAATGAAAATTGCATTTCGCTTTAATCAGTGTAAGAAAAGCAATTGGCTTCAACTCCTCAAAAAACAGTTAAAAGATGACAACCACCTCCCTGGTTGGGGAGATCCAACAGTTTTCATGTTCGTCTAAAATAAAACTCCTGTAGCTGCCAACATTTCACACCAGTGGGAACCAAGAATTACAACCAGAAAAGCCTTTTAATAGTTTAACATTCAATGCAATGACAGCAAGAGCCAGAGGCATCCTCGGCTTTCATTTTACAATGTCAGGTTTTCTAAAAGGACACAGTGGATGAACTACATCTCACGTGATGCTCCAGGAGGAGGAAGAGGACATTGCTGGATAAAGTCGGATCTGTCCACATGCCAACTGTCATCAAGAACCAAACCTCCTCAAATCCACATAGACACCCACACACTCCACAGGCAGCTCATAAGCACTCTCAGCGCTCCCATGCAAACTCCCACACATACTCTGAAGCACATTACCCACAGAGTAGCCACACACATGCAAACACACAACACATACACCTGTGGTAGTTTCAAACAAATGGATTAAACCCACGCGCACACACACACACACACGCACACACACACACGCACACACACACGCACACACATGCACCGATGTCTCTTCTGCAGATTTGAAATATGACTTTGAGCCAAACTCTTTATTTTTTGTTTAAAATTCAAAGATCATACCTGCAGATCTGCACGAGGTGAAGCAGTTAGACCAAAGTGAACCAAAGAAAAGTGAAAACGTTTTCACAGACAGACACGTCTCTGTGTTTTTGTTAGTTTCATGAGTTGACTGGATTATTTTTACTCAAACTGTGGTGATGGACAGACTGGCACACTTTAATGCGTTTGTAGTCAAAAGAGCCGCGCAGTGAGGGACGAGCAGCAGACAAACATGGCTGTGTGCATGAGAGACACTCACACATGATGCTGTTGCTTTTTTATTGGAAACATTTATCTGCTTTTGATGATCAGAAGCTTCTGCTTGAAATGAACCTGCAGCATCTGCAGCACACTCTGATGCAGGGAGAGTGCGGGCTCGGTGTCTTTGCCAACAAACTCCCACTTCCTCCTTAAATAAGAAACACTGGGTAAGCCAGAATAGTGTTTTTCATGATGGCTTGTCTTTCCTACTAAAATTAGCTCAGTGGTGTGATTTCCTGTGTCAAACTGCTCCGTTATTCGACACACAGACAGTGTAAATGTGGACAGAGCTCGTAGAGCCTCGTGGTGCAGCAGCAACTCAAAGTTTCCTGTCGGACTTTATCGGTCTCTCACATCACTGTGGAGAGTTTTGACCCACTCTTCTTTACAGCGTTGCTTCAGCTCACTGAGGTTTGCAGGATTATTCATGCACAGCTCTGTGAAGGTTCCACCACAGCATCCCACACTGTGACTGCACCACTGCAGCAGCTCCATTCTTTCCTTTTCCAGCCGTTCTGCTGCAGATCTGCTGCTGTGCTCGGGTCATCGTTCTGCTGGTGACCCAGTTGAGTCCACGCTTCAGCAGACAGACGTCCTCACGCGGTCACCGTGCTGTGGTTGGTGTGAGGTGTTTGTGCTGCTATGATGTTTGGTTGTATCTCCACGCTGGTCTCGTTTGTTCCAGAAGTCTTTGTTCAGGTGCAACTTTGCAAACTTAATCCATGCTGCCATGTGCTTTTTAGAGAGAAGAGGGTTTTTTGCAGCCCTTCCAAACAAACCACACTTGTTCTGAGGCAGACACAGTTTGTTTTAGTTTCAACAGCGAGCATGAAACTGATGAGTCACTCAGAGAGTTATTAAATAGCACCTGAGTATTTCCAGTTTTTAATCCACGATCAACTTCACTCTCATAAACCACAAGAGAGACAAAAGTGCAGTAAACGCACATACAAAGATTTGTATTATTATTAACTAGAACCCGGAGCTGTGCGGCTGTTAGAGGTGCTGGGCTGACTCTGTCCTGACTCCTGAGACAGACAGCAGAGAGGACAGCTGTCCTCTCTGCTGTCTGTCTCAATAAAAGCTGGTGCTGCGTTTGTGTCCAGCTTCAGTGTTTGTCTGCGTTTTATTGAATTCTGTGATATAATTTATACAGATAACTTTAACAAAAGTGGAGACGGGTTTTTGGTTTTGGCTGTTCACAAACTGAATCAAAAACCATCACAATGAGGGCGGAGCCACCAGTTGTAGAGCTCCTCTCATCCAATCAGAAGGCTTCACGGCTCGCCGCTCGCCTCCTGACTTGGAGTCGAGCACTCCTGGTTCCACGCCGATGGATGAAGAAGTGTTTTTCAGCAGGACCTCCTCACGGTGACTCAGCAGCTGTGCAGCTTTATAAGGAGGCAGCGAACCTCCGTCTGTCACCACGCAGACGATGGCCCGGCTGCTCCGCATTGCCTGCATCCTGGTCTGCTGCCCCGCGCTGCTGCAGGGCAAAGCTTCAGGTAAGCACACCTGAACTTGTCAGTGGTGAGTCTGCCGCTGTGCTCAGATTTCATTAGAGTTTTGTTTAAGGTGCACTAATGGTGCTATTTTCCTATACCTGCATTAGTTTCCTGCTCACAGCTCTGCTTTGGTTCCTACTGAAGATCATTGTTGTATTCAGTTTGGACAGAATGACATTTTAAAGTTAAAACTGAGGGAGGTGAAACTGAGATTAGATTTTAAGGACAGACGGGCACAGCTGAACTGTCCAAAAGGACGTATTCTACCAAAAATCAGATCCACCTTTTAATCAGACTGTGGATCTAGCAGTCTCACCTGCTGCAGGTGCTCGTTTATCAACGTTTAAATCAGTGTTTATGGCTGTTACAGAACACAAGGTTTAGTGTTACTGACAGTGAACAGCAGAGAGCCGGTTGTTAGCGAGATGTGGACGACTGCAGTAACTCTCTGCTTCTGGCTTTCAGCACAGCTCCTTCCTTCTGTTAACCTCTATCAGAACCAGGCTGTGGCAGATTTTCTCCTCAAATTATTTTTCAGGTGAACTGTAATCAAAGTTCAGGCAAATCCACTTAAAGCCTTCTCCTGTGTTTTTAGCATTTTCCCTGTTTTGCACGTCGTCCCCGTCACGGTTGGACAGACGGCGCTGCTGAAGGCGCTCCTCTGTCCTTCCTGTTGCTGTTTATTGATGACGATGTTTCCTGTCGTTGTTCAGAGTACCAGCTGGAGTCAGAGACACTGAGCCGATGTGAGCTGCTGAGAGGCGTCGCTGCTGCCAAAGAGCGAGATGAGATCCCTCACTGCACTGAGGACGGCAGCTTCAGGTGCTGGATTTGGTTTTTTTATAATCGTGATGAAGAAATATCAGCAGCACCTCTGAGCCACAATATGAACGCTCATAATATTTAAAAAGTTCAACTTATGAAGCACGAACAGCCTCAAACTTTTTATTTTCACCAGCCAGATTAACAGTTTCTGTGTGTGCGTGTGT